ACTATTACAAGTGCCATCGTTTCACACCTCGTCGAGTCCGATCACACAGTGAGTGTGACTGAAGCATTTTGACCTCGATACTGTGTTCGGGGTCGCAAATGAAAGCCAATTAAAAACCGCATCCTAGCCACCGCAGAGGCAGTTGGAATTCGACCATATAATCTCCTTGTGTGCCAAAAAACACTTTGTGAATTCACTCAACCTACCATGGCCCTCCACCTCCCATCCTCATACTCCTTCGCCTCCTTCTCCCTCTCCCACTCCCACCCTAAATCGCACAAGTAACTCGATCTAAGCGTAAGTTTCGACTGTAGGATGAGCCATATCCGGTTTTGTGAAATTGAGACAAAACAACAACCACAATCTGCTTTTGAATAATCATTAATTTCTTTGTGATATAAGATGTGACGTATTGGCCAGTTGATGAGTAACGGAAATAAAAGCTTGTTAGGTAAACTGCATTTTTCAATCCTGATTCGTTTGCTTATCGTCTTCTCAAGATTGTCTTTCAAAGAAGACAATATATTGTAAACTTCTATTGTGCACGTTTCTCCAGTTTTCCATTCTATACTCTCAAACAACAACTGATAAGTTCCTCCGGGAATTCACCTTTGAACGACCATCACCATTGTGTGTTCATCAAACGATTGGAAATATAGCAAACTATGCTTGAGATAAAATTGTGATAAGCGAGTTATTTACTCTCCCAGAAAAGCATGAGCTTGTAAGTTATTCCCATAATAAATCTTTGAATCTTTAAATCTTCTGCTTTTAGTTTGGACTTAAGGTAAAAACACACACAACGGATGTCAATACCATTGACTACTTCACTTTATCAATTTCATTCATTCTTGCTTGAAATATATTTTAAATATTGTTATCACAATTAGCTTCAAATACTGCTGCGCAGATGTGAAAGACACTAAGGTTAGCCCGAGTAAAAAAGTTCGTTTTGCTTGCACAGGACACAACTATTCCAATTGTGAGCTCGTTTATCCGCGGGCTCTGATTTTTACAGAGATATGGTCCAATCAAGTGGAGATATTGCTTTCGTGAACCCCGTCGAGTTGAACGAACCAACTCGTCGTGCACACTGAGCACGTGATGTGACTGTGAATTACAATTATTTACTTGGCATATTTGTTGTAGCTCACCGGTGGTAATGCGAAAAATGAAATAATGGCGAGACATGAACAACCGGCAATAATTTTGCCTAGCCCAGACAAGGGGACAGTATCTCCATAGCCGACGGTACAAAGTGTGATCTGTCAACAGCAACGGGAAAGTAGAGAGAGAAATGGGGCACGAGGGTCAACAAGGCATGAAAACGTACTGGGTAGAAAGAAGATGGATGGCTTCGCGATCATGTACAAGTTTGGAGGATGCTATTGAAATAATAAGCCTTTAGCTAGGCGGCCTCCACATTTTGTAGATTGAACATACGTCATTGATCGTGGTGTTAAGGCTTTTAAACTCACAGGTTGAGAGCATGATCCTGGTCTCCTCGGTGAGACAGAATCTGTTTTATCTACCTACCGTTCACACGAGTGCGCTGGGTTCAGTACGATCAATTTTTGGTAACACTGTACATTTGATAATTATCGGAACACGATTGAGTCAGTCCACACTGACTTTTGATTCAGTTAGGCAATTCAATTAGTTCATTTTAAGATACTTTGGATTGCTTTCCAGTGGACTAAAAATAAATGGTCGAACATGAACTGAAGAATTATTATCTTGTTTCCAATAGTGAAAAATCAGCTATTATTGGTTCATTCTAACAGAAAGATCATTAATACATTTACATTGTTAGCCAATCAGCCATAGCATATTGATAAAAAAACAAATGTTTAAATGTAAGGTAATTTATAATGAAGCGCTCACTGCTTTTCGAAAATATGGTTCCGTGTGATACATTCTGTCAAAAGATTTTGGGAAAAATACGCGATTATCTGAAGATCGTTTACACACCAATACCGGACAATTAAAATTTTGGGAAAAACAGTACTCACCACTCCCCACCATAAGGCGTCCGCATATGTTTTGATTTTCTCGTTTTCCTTTTTTTCAACCAGATAAATGAGAAATGAGCTGAAGATTAATCCTAAAAATCCGATATAGACGGTGGTGAATAGTTCCTGAACAACGAGATGAAGAGACGTAAACGAGATATGATTCGCTAATGTGATTGGAATTCGAGACGAAACAAAGGCAGATATTCGGATACAATAAATACGACGTTATTTCGCATGCTGCTATGGATAATAAATTCGGTTAGCCCAGCTGAAAATAAAGCGTATTATTTACCAGTATGTGTTGCACCAAGACAAACGGTTAGCGACTGTACATGTCACCCCTATATGCAAACCCATAATATGTCGGTAATCGGTGTGTTTCCATAAGGATTTAACATTGGAGTACTGTATCACAAGATGCGTTTATGAACATAAAGAACCCTGGTGGTTTCCCAGCTTCTGTATCTGATTATCAAGAGGAGAACAATAAGATCCAACATACAAGGGCAATTGTGCATTTGCAGCTAGGTCATTTAAGGACTGAAATGTCAACTCTTGCATTCGTTGTGGTTTTAAACGTGTTCTCCTTTTTATCTAATCTTTGAAGTTGCTTGACACGAGAGTGTACATTTTTAAAATTTTACCTCAATTTGAGTGTTACTCTGATGTGGTAATAAGTATTTCCGCACTGATTCACCCACCTCTTTTTTCTGACACGGAAAAATGAAACAAATGGTGCGCTTTTGATGTCGGAAAAACAAACTTATTTGTAACTTTGGTTTGTTTGCACGTGAAATTTTGGAACATTGCAGGAAGTGCTATGCAAATGTGACCACATTTTTTGAAACACATGAATTACTTTGACTAGTCCAAGTTGAAATTGAGGGAAGGTTTCATAAATCACAAATCATTTGCCGTGTGGGGATTGGTAGCGTCTACACTGAACGGTGTCTCGTATACCGTAATTTTCTTTCTTTTTTCCCCTGCTAGAAACGCTATCTACTACTCGAGTTGTATTTCATCAGATTTTTAAATCGTCTGTTTGCCACACTTTCAAATAATCCCTTTCCAACATGCTTGACAATTGTGGGGAAAAATGACCGGTAAACAGAACTAATTGTCCTGAAAAATAATTGGGAGATAATCAAAGATTGGTAAGGTAATTACCAATATATCGCGTTTCTTCACCTTACTCCAAATGTATGAGAAATCTGTATGATGCTGTGTTTTTGAATCTAAAAATGTTGAACTTAGGCTGTTTTAAACATTCTGTTTCCAGTGTAATGTTACAACTGCGAGAACATTAGTTTCACTGAAATTCAAATCCACGGATTTACAGTAGACTCCCCACCTATTTACTTCGAGGCCACACTGTTATCACGTTTGAATCACCCACACAACTAGCACCATGCAAGTTGTTTGCTGTGAATACGTTTTTAATAAAATATTTTGTTATTCAGCGAAAGGATTGTAATGGGCTCTTTTTGTGGTGACCTCATCTAAACATTTTCTGTCGAATAACAATTGTATATTTATAGCACCCACCTTTCGAGCCTATCTGATGTGAAAAGTTGTTCCGTTGAAAATAAAAAGATAACGCTCTTCATCATTATTTTAGAAACGATCTAGGGATTCGTCTCTAGGAGCCTCAATGCAGCGTCAGTAAGATAGTTAACAAGGGTGATAGATTACGAGGCATCACGTATTTGGTTTGCAAAACAATCGAAACGGCAATCCATTTATGCATTGGTATTTGCCCAAGAATTAGTTTTGATCAATAAACAGGCAAACAACCGTAACGACTACGGATATTCTCTTTATGTGTTCCACTTTTGTTCATGATATTTTGGAACCGATTTCAGTCATCTTGTTCAAAATTGAATGCTGACTTTTGGATTGTGATTAAATTTGCTCGTCTTTTACTATAATATTTCAGCGTATTCACTAGTGAAACCTATTAACCGACAATGATAATAATAGTGATGATAATAAATAAGTTTATTATTACTGCCTCGAGCGAGAAGGACGTGCTTATTCTTGTGATCGTTTCGAAATACAAGGGGTTTGGAATAATCTTAGCTCTTGTTGACACTACGCGGCACCAGCGTGGCGGAATCCCCCTTTAAACTGCGATGTACATAACACACACCTGACCAGCACTTTGTAAAGTCCATCTTGAACAAACAAAATCCGTTACTGAATGATCTATTTTGCTTAGAGTCATCTGGTTTGCCACAAAATATTTGCATTTGAAAATTGAACATCGAAAATGTGATTACCATACCATGGTGTTATATAAACGTTATTGTTATAAATGAATAGATTACCGTGTATTATTTTGCTTCATCTGTTTTTTTCTACTACGCACGATAGACGTTTCTATTACTTGCCACTCAACCTAAGATAGTTTGTTAATTCATCGCTCTTTAAGGATTTTCATAAGGAAATTTTCTCAGAAAACAACAGTAGGCAATTCAGGAAACATCAATCATGAAGGGATCTTTTGATAAAAAATGGCGTTGATTCATTTTGTTTGGTAGCACTCTAATGCGAGTCGCTTGAATGATTCGCCACATCAGCTGATTGACAGAAATTTGGCTTACACGTGCAATCAACCGCAAGGTTTGCGATGAAATCATGTAAATCTATGCCTATTTTCATATGGAAAACCGTTGGGGGAAAAGCTATGAAAACCATCATTTCACGTTTTTCATTATTTAATATCTATGTTTTTTTCTGTTACCTTAGACTTCCGAGGCAACAGTCGCACTAGTTTATGTTGGGCATTTGAAAGGTTGTTGCTTTAAACATCATCTCGTTTACCCTCATGAACATTGCTTGATTTTCTGTCTTGCAGCCTTGCTATATTGCTTATATTTCACAATCACGAGTGCTCACACTTTGTTTACGGTAGAAAGTAATGCGAGTCAAGCAAAAACTACGGCAACTGGATTCGTTAGTCCGATTCAATCAGGTGACAATGTTTATTCTGAATGAAAGAGATCTCTGCACAAGTCAATTGAGAAAGCACTGAGATTATCCGAATCTTATTCATCGAGGCTCGGAGCACGCCGGCGAGGGCATGAACACCTCACTCGTTGCACGTTTAGTTGTGGATGAAAAACATTTGCCATTCTTGCTGCTTACATGCGCACCACCGGTGCTGTAGAGAACACTGGTATAAGTTTTGTTGCTGGGTAAGTGTTATTTAGAATCTACATAAGCGAATTTGTTTGGCTTTCCATTTGTGAGTGAGCCAAATATTCCTATCAATTAATCTCCTCAATAAACATCATACATCTGTGTAAAAGGTAGTTTCACTGTATAATCCTTATCTGGAAATCTTGCATTTGGAAGAAAACACTTATATAACATTATCTTACGTTCAGATGAAAGTTGCAATGATTGAAATTATTGGCGAAATGTTTGTTTGCATTTTTTAAATATTTCAGTCATACTTCCAGGGTAAAAGTACGGTACATTCCGTGGAGTTTCATGTTTTTATTCCGATCCGTTTTGACATAAGGTTTACAACTTACTAATAATCTATAAGTTTTTGTCACAGTTTATTTTACCTAGTAGAAACGTAGCCTTTCATTCAGCTATTCTGCATCACCAGAACCCATCCATGCAGCCGTGTGAAGAAGCGCCGACTGACCACTTCCCACAATTGTCTGGAAAAACGCATGAACTCACTTGTCGATGCGCCCAAACCACTGAGGCGAGCAACTTGAACGATCCACCTCGCCGATCCATACGGATCATGCGAAGAATTTGAAAAAAACGCAGTCCACGCAGTGCACTGGCTGCAAACATGTTTCGATCACTGTCCACGGCCAGAACAACTACACTGGCAATAATAACGATAATGTCTGCGGTTGAGGGTGGAGCGGAGCGAGGCGGGGGGGGGGG